GTGTGTGTGTGTGTGTGTGTGTGTGTGTGTGTGTGTGTGTGTGTGTGGAAAGTAGAGGGGAGAAATCGATTTGTGTGCAAAACTGTCGAAATTATTTCCGTTTTCGTATTTCTCAAATCTCTCTTAATATCATTTAGTGTTGGTGCTGCCAATATGCACACATCAACCATTTCACACACATACACATTGCAGCGCAAATTCAATTTTCCGAAAAATGATTTTATGCATGAGATTCTGTATCAAATCATTTTTCCGTTAGAAATCATTTATTTATATTACATCAATGCAATAGCAATAGCAACAGCTAACAACAGCAGCATTCAGTCGCAATAAACGATTTTCGAAACTCATAAACACAAAGTGTATAAATTGTTGCGTTTTTACAATTTTCTCTTTGAGCCGGCACAAGATTGATTTAACTAAAACATTTAAATTCCACGCGATGTGGAGAGCGATGATGGAAGATTATGAACGCAACCAGGCGTCTCCGGTCTGTCTGTGTCGCAAATTTTTATGTCTGATAGTGAAAATGGTATGGATTTTTGCATTATTTTTTTACCCTACACATATATAGATACATCATATTTATTCATTTGCTCGTTCTATTTGAGTATTAAAACATGGAATGCGCATTTCAAACCGCTTGTTTCATTCTGATTGATGTTCATTTCTCACACTGACGTGTCGGCGGCGCGCTTGCATTCCAAGCTCCCCAGAGTGCGAACCGAATGAATGAGCATCGAATTGGAAGCTATGTGTATGCTAGGCATGTTTGTGTGTATGTGTGATACGATGATTGCCCCATGCGATGCTTTTTCAACAGCATCCATATCAATTTGCATTAGCACTGGATTATGTCAATGTCAATATTTCACCTTTTTTGCGCTCGCGCCTCAATGTTTACTCGCTCTCTATTGTAAATACTCAACAATAACAAAAAAGCACACGGTAAAAGACATAAAAAAATGGTTAGTCCCAAAACTCAATGAGAATCGGTCAAACGGTAACTTGAATGCAATGCCATCTAATTGCCTGATTAAAATTTGCAACAGCATCACACAAACATCAAACGCAATCAGTGAAATCGAAAGAGTGGAACGGGTAGCGGGTCGAGTGAAATACAAAAATAATTAAGGCTGGCTTATAGTTGTCATCAACGATAAAATGAGTTTGAAGTAATTACACTTTTGCTTCACTTTTTGACGAAACTTTTCA